TATTTTTTAGGATTCACCACACTACTCGGAAGTGCAGCGAGTGCTGCGCGAGGAGATCGTAAACCCGCTGCGCCGGCACGGGTACGTGCGCGCCGACCGCGTCATGAAGCTGCGCACGCTGCTCGAGCGCCTCTCCGACGTGCCCGGCCTCACGTGCGAGGAGAAGGTGACGTGGACAAAAATATCCGCTCGAGTTAGCTGGTATCCGTGACGTCACGTCAACACTGGTACCGATCGTACAGGTTGTATTTGGACTGGCCGCTTCGGGATTCGGTCTCCGGCCTCGCATAAATACTCATTTGATGCATTAACATCAAGTCATCAACCTATAGTTGAGCTTGTAATTTGAACTATAGCTCGGCCTTCGGCCTCGCCTTTCTTTATTATAACTCCAACCAATACTTTTAATTCAAATTCAATTTATATTTTCTACTATCCAAGCAATTACAATTTGACAACACTCGAGAAAGGAATCTAGAACCACCCCAAATATGTATAGGGACGGGACAAGTGTCGCCATCTACGCGGAAAAACGTAAGAATCTTTTGGGAAATTTATGTCGCAGTAAACTGTCATCTTGTTTTTTTATAAATTATTTAAATACATAACTATACAGTTGATAAACAAACAAAAGAAAATCTCCAAAAAATTGCGCGACTCTTCAGTTGCAACTCTCTGAAAGCACCTATTTTTATTCCAGGATCCAGAGGAGTTTCTGAACGGTCTGGTAGCACAACTACTTCGCGCAGAACCTTTCCTGAAGTTATCGTCGGGGCAAGAGTCGTTTTGCTACCAGTTATTCGTGGAAAAAGACGAACATGTTTCCTTGCCAACAGTACAACAATTGCTTGAACAATCGTTTGCTACTTCAGGTGTAAAGCTTAGTGAGGTAACGCATTTACTATTATTTTTAAATTAAGCAATTGATAAATCTGTTAATACACCCTTACTTTGATAATTATATTCTTATTCTTCGTTCTAGGTTCCCGCGGCGTTCATTATCCAAATGCCAAGGTTCGGAAAGCAATATAAATTGTACCAACAAGTGTTGCCATCTCCACTGTTGGACGTTACTGATCTCATTGAAGGATGTAAGTAGATTTGCTTAAGTGTTTAGGTTTTGACTATTTTAACATTGCGTTTAAGTTTGAACTACACCAACGCTGCAGATCGCCATCGCCGGCTCGATCATAGGCCAAAACAGGTCGCGCGACCCATGACAGTCCACGCGACCTGTCATTGACCTATGATCGCGCCGTGATCGATTCGGCGATGAAGATCGGCACGTGTTGGTGTTGTTATAGCTTTACTGTCTTTTTACTTTTACATTGCAGTGCCTCGTCAATGTGCCGTGTGTGGGACATTGGCTCGGTGGGAGTGCAGCGCGTGCAGCGGCGGCGGCACGTTGGAGGCCGGCGCGCTGTGCTCCGCCTGCCTGCGGCTCGCGCACAATAAGCGCCCACAGCACAAGGTACAAATAGAAGAATAACAATCTGACTGTGATTGAAATCAGACCCCCTAAAGCCTGGTCCGTGAGCACGTAGAATTTTGTCTAATGACCCCAAGCTACCCATCCTTATCGCTCGCGCGTAATTATGTTGCTGTCGAGCTCGCACACTCACTGCGGGCGCCCGTCGCACAGTCGCGACAACAATATAATTACGCGCGAGCGATAAGGATGGGTAGCTTGGGGTCATTGGACAAAATTCTACGTGCTCACGGACCAGGCTTTAGTTAAGTGGCAAAACGGAGCCCAGTAACTACATACAAAAAACCACCAGAGCAGACATTTCGAAATTACCAACTGTCACGTTTTGCCACTTAGGGGAACAAGATACTCGACTTGATACGAGTAAAAATGATATTTTTTTACAGGCAACACCGCTGACAGTTTGCGAAGAGTTCGCAAACATACTGGAATCGTGTCCAGTGCCTCGAGTTTATATGGAGCTGTTTGCTGTGCTGTGCATTGAAACTAGTCACTATGTGGCGTTCGTCAAAGCTGGTGTGGGTCACGATGCTCCCTGGTGCTTCTTCGATTCGATGGCCGATAGAAAAGGTACAATACCACCAAACTTAATTTCTGTCTAAATAATCTTGTATTGGCAGTAGGGTAAAAAGTTACAATCTTTGACGAGTCAGGTTCGCTACTCTATTCTAGTTGGATAACACTGAAGTGTCCGAGGAGGACGCCACTATCAATACTTGGTTATTATTTCTTATTTTTGCCACGTTGGGCAACACTGAAGTGTCTCATATACATTCATATGTGTCAATATAATTTATTGGTCTATTCCACTTTGATCACCCAGGTGATCAAAGTGAACTTCCAGCGGCAATTTAGTGTCCTTTGATCACCTGGGTGATCAAAGCTAGGTGATTAAAGTGGAATAGACCAAATTTATTCCCACTCCGCAGGCGAGCGCAACGGCTACAACATCCCCGAGATCGTGAGCATCGCCGAGCTGGGCTCGTGGCTGGGCGAGGAGGGCGCGCGCGCGCACGCCTCCCCGCACGCCGCGCGGCTGCTCGCCGACGCCTACATGTGCTTCTACCGCAGCCCCGACGTCGCCATGTACCGCTAAAGGCTGATTTACACGTGTTAAGTAGGTAACTAAACTACATTTTACTTGAGTTTTCTGTCAAGTTGGTGGGTGGGGCTTGTCAATTGACACGTTTTGACATGCAGTTTCATAATAAACAAGAGCTTGACGTTTGGAATTAAGTTAAAATTTAGTTACGATGCAAGTTGATTACTTAAAATTAAGTTAAAATTTAGTTACCTACTTAACTACTTAATACGTGTAAACCAGCCATAAGAGCGCTTTCACATTTAGGCGACTTTAGCAGCGCGACAAACGCGCGTCAGACGCGCTGCCGATAATTTAGCGCTCTAATACACCGCCGGGTAACGAGCCGCTCCTGCATTCCGCCCAGACGGGGTTGCCAGGTTTTGAATGTGGTATGGTAAACTAGTTTATGCCAGGCATTTAAGTTTTTAGTTTCTGTTTTTATCTAAATCACACGATCTACGCGGACTATGTCACCGAAATGGGTATGACAGAGACTTGAAAAAGAAAACGTGGCCATGCGTATTGTTTTCAGTTTGCGATTGAAAGCACATCCTCGGGATTTTTCAAGGTAGTATTGTGCCACCCGAGAACGTTTTTGTTCCGCCTACTGTTGTACACTATCATATCCGCTGATGGTGATGTTTAGTATGTTCAAAGATTGCACCCGATTTGTCGCACTAGAATCGATCCGCAGAGATTGATCTGCACAGTTTGCCTTTTTTATCACCGTCCAATTATTTTCGCGGTATTTTGTCCGATTCACAGACCATAAAATTGTATTCCACTATAATATATTTATTTACAAGCAGCCTGTATTAATGAGGGTTTTCAGAGTCACGTTAAAATGTACATATGAAAATATGTGAAACTAGACCTATTTTTATCGACAAAAAAGAGGTCAACAATTTTTGGACATTTTTTTTTTAATTTTTATAGAATTTTTTTTCTTCCAATTACTTCCTCGTAAAGAAAAACGTAATAACTTTTAAACTAAGAGGTAGGTATATCCTGATAAAATAAAAACAGTAATAATGCTAAATAACAGGCGATACTAAAAAAAAATACATAAAATACCCAGAAAATGCCAACAAATAATAAAAAATGAAACTTTTTGAAAAAAATCTGCTTAAAAATTCGTATTTTTCATCATTGCAAACGTTGTGATAGGGATAGAGACATGCGATTTTTGGTTTTACGAAGGTAATACGATAGAGAATAATACAAAGTAATAAAAACCACCGGTTATAGGGGCATTTTTTGGAGAAATTTATCAAATAACCAAAAAAACACGAATTTGAAAGCAGATTTTTTTCAAAAAGTATCATTTTTTATTATTTGTTGGCCTTTTTTGTGTATTTTATGTATTTTTTTAGTATCGCCNTTTATTTACAAGCAGCCTGTATTAATGAGGGTTTTCAGAGTCACGTTAAAATGTACATATGAAAATATGTGAAACTAGACCTATTTTTATCGACAAAAAAGAGGTCAAAAATTTTTGGACATTTTTTTTTAATTTTTATAGAATTTTTTTTCTTCCAATTACTTCCTCGTAAAGAAAAACGTAATAACTTTTAAACTAAGAGGTATATCCTGATAAAATAAAATCAGTAATAATGCTAAATAACAGGCGATACTAAAAAAAATACATAAAATACCCAGAAAATGCCAACAAATAATAAAAAATGAAACTTTTTGAAAAAAATCTGCTTAAAAATTCGTATTTTTCATCATTGCAAACGTTGTGATAGGGATAGAGACATGCGATTTTTGGTTTTACGAAGGTAATACGATAGAGAATAATACAAAGTAATAAAAACCACCGGTTATAGGGGCATTTTTTGGAGACATTTATCAAATAACCAAAAAAACACGAATTTGAAAGCAGATTTTTTTCAAAAAGTATCATTTTTTATTATTTGTTGGCCTTTTTTGTGTATTTTATGTATTTTTTTAGTATCGCCTGTTATTTAGCATTATTACTGTTTTTATTTTATCAGGATATACCGCCTGCTTTAAAAGTTATTACGTTTTCTTTACAATAAGTAATTGGTAGAAAAAAAAATCTATAAAAAATAAAAAATCTCAAAAAAAAATTGACCTGATTTTTGTCGATAAAAATAGGTCTAGTTTCATTTATTTTCATATCGCACGTTCATAATCAAACCGTCACTATACGAAATTGGGAGAAATTGAGTTAACAACGCCATCTATCAGCGCTCCGCGAAAAGTGCATGCTGTAAAAATCCCACGCTTAAAGCTCAAATGTACACTTTAACGTGACTCACACTGTATTATTATAACCATGCCATTTTGTGTTTAAATAAAAATTCAATAATAATGTAATAAAAACATCTAAAGGCAAAAATAAAACTAGGTAATAAATATTAAGTAGTATATTTTCTAATTTATTATATTCTATTTACAAAATTATATGTAAATTGTTCCAGACTTATGGTATAAATATTAAAAAGATTAACAGGAATGATTAAAAAGGTTAAAAGTAATTTAGGTACATTAGTATGTAACAGATCTATGTATTATTTTACTATAATAGTTAATGTAAAAAATGCCCTTATTAAAATAATTAATTTTGTTACAAAAATATTTTATTTTCAGTCCTATTAAAACTTCTACTTAATTTGTATAATAAGATCACAAACATTCTATTAACTAATTAGATTCATTGGAAAAATATTGCTTATCAAAATATATAAATTGTATTTCTAATATTAATAGCCCTTGTGTTGGCAGTTCTTTCTTGACTTTACATTTAGTTACACAGTTTTTAACTAGCTGTATCCTACCTATATGCATTATTTATTATTATGCAAAGATGATCATTCATTATTAATAATCTCGTTTGTTTTCGCCTCTATTAACATTCAAATCATCATCACAGCTCAACATGCTTGAAATTGTTTTCTTCACAGTCACATTTTGATTTTACTTGAGGCACGGGAGTCATACCGTCATATACACTTACTTTACTTTTTAATCTTTTACTCCATTCCTGAAAAGAATAAGAAAACAAATTCATTATTGGAAAATGGGCGTATGGGAAATATTTCAAACAAAATTAAACATTTACGCAACTTCAGAGGATCGAAATTGTGTGTATATGCCATAAATGTTACTGAATGAATTAAAGTACTGAATGAGTATACCAAAATATGGCTATACAATGTTTTTGTTCACACAGGTATGAATCAGATTTTGAGATTGAAGCCTTTGGATTAGAAGTTTTTTTTTTAAATAATATATCAAAAAGCTCAAATGGGGAGTTATTTAATAATAGTTTATGATGGTGTAACAATGAATACTTACAGAAAAAAGTACACCATGGTAGCAAATGATATGTTGTGGAAGTAAATGTTCATTGGCAAATTTTCTAGCATTTTCAGCAATATTACGAGCTTCCTCGTCATGTTCACGTGCCCAAATTACACGTTCTTTTAAATCGGACAAGTCGCGTGAAACTGGGACGTAATGTTCCCATGGTCGTAGTAAACTATAAAAGTGTTCGAAAAATGGCGAATCTTGCTTCAAAACCATTCCACCACCAGCAAGTAAATATGGTAATCGATAGGCTGCTACTGTACCATCTATATTCACTTGGTATTTATACTGAAACAATAACAATATAAATTATAAGTAGACCAGTATCTACAAACTATTTACATAATAAGGGCCTCCGCTAAAACTCGCGCGGATGCACGGTGCTCGCCTATGGAAATGCACGTCGTCTGCGACGTGCACCCGCCACACGCTGGGAGGTGTATTTTTTCGATACAATCCCGCGTGCGTGCGCTGTTTCAGTGGCTTGTAACATCTTGGCTAGTAAACAGGTCCACACCTATGAGTCTAAAAAAACACACCTAATTGCCAGACATCAACTCTATTATACTTACATCAAAAAACTTGAAAAAAGAAATATGAGGTTGCTTTGGGCCATACTGAGCTTCCTTGTCACGAAAGAAAAAGAAATTCGTGAGAGATACATTAAATAGATCAGGGTTAGCCCTTGCAATGTCAACGAGTTTCAACCGCTCCAGTCGCGAGTCGCGCCCTCGCCATATGGCACGGGGTTCCCGACTCTGCCACTGGTGCTCAACACTGCCTTGCACTGACAGAATATCCAATGTGACCCTAAAAATAAATAAAAGCAGTAATTACACAGAAAAATGGAGTGTAAAAATAATCATGCCACACTATTTTTTCTATTTGGAATTCTTATGATAAATTAAATTATTGGACTACACTTATTGGAAAAAATAAACCTACATTATCAATGCATATCAATACTAAAACAAGCTGTACTGTAATGTGTTTTGATTCATTCATTTCTATAAAAAATATTTAATGCTTCATCAGCACATCACAAGCAGCATTTCAACTATTAGCCAAGAAATGGAAAGGAGTGACTTTTACCTAAATTAAATACAATTAATATTTATGGTTTAGGAATATAGTTACCTGCCCATATTCTCAATTGTAGATTCTGTTATATCATATGTTGGCATTATTATGTCTAATGTATCATTACTACCACACCAAGAAAACACTGGTAATGGCTCTGACAGTTTAGAAACTAAAGGCCAATCACCCAGGTTTATAACCAATTCCATATCAGGTAATACAACCTTTCTTGACAAAAACAATAGAATATTATCAGAAAACATGTTGAACCCAACATGCTTTCCATAACAGTCTCTGTAAATTTTGTTATTCTTTATAACATAATGGCAAAAACTAGTGCTTTCTGGTTTATGATACTTTTCAATTATTTTCTTAATTTGCACTTTCATATCAACATCATTGTGTAACAACAGATCATTTTCAATTTGTTTGTAAGTTTTTGGGCATCCATATTGTTCCAGCCAAGTGTTAATATCTTTCACTGGACAGTCGCATTGGTCTGCTAGTATAGGACCTGTAAATATTCCAAATAAAATTTAATTGAAAAACATTTAAGTCCATATTGAAATATAAGCTGAGGTTAGCACTTTAATCAACAAAATAGTGATAAATGAACAAACTGTCTCAACAAATAATACTTAGTACCAAATAAATATTTTTTCTTTCTTTAATAAAAGTTCCTTTCCGTGAGATTCTTTATCTTTAATTCGAGATGTTATCTGATATCTCTTACCTGTAAACTTGACTGGAGATCCAGTAATATGCTTGCTCTTAAAATAAATTCCAATGGAAAGATCCTGGCAGGTTTCATATACTTTATAGCGAATTAAAAAAGTGCCGTCTTTCCGATCTAGTTTATTTATCCAGACGCGACACCTGTTGTTATTTGCAGACTTTCCTTCGATTTCCACTGCAACATCGTTTGCTAAGCTGGGTTCATATCTTTAACATAAATATAATTTTTAGGTTTTTAAAATTTGATAATTGTAGCAATTAGGTATGTAGTTAAAACGTTGGGTAGGATGATACTTACTTCTTACAGTAAGATGTAAAATTAACAAAGAAATATCTAGCCGGCATTACTATATTTTGGGGTTGTAATCCAGGTCCCCAAAAAAATTCATTATTTTGTAGGGAATTAATTAAAGAAAACTGTATACACAGCAAAATAAAGTTCCAACAGTTCCAAATCATAGCGCTAATTACTTATAACACCATTTTTATAAAAGTAATCAATTCAAAACAAATAAAAATAGAAACAGGAAAAAGAGTGACATTTTAAAACTGTCAACTGTCATCTTTTTTTTTAATTTAGTGAGGTGTGAAAAATCGATAACATTGTATCGATAAGGATGGATAAGTAATTGATTTTCAGTCAAAGTTTAGTCAGTCAAAAAAAGAGATTTTTTACTCGAGTAAACATAGCTCGCCAGACACTAGAGCCTTGGCCTTTCAAAATTACAACAACTGATAATTTTGTCACTTGCCAGACTGAGTGTATTTATTTTAAAGTTACGCCCAGAGCCCCGATTACGGTAACTTTTAACGTCTACAATCCAGACGCGTTTCTGATTCTGCAATACGATTGGTCAAAACAGCTGACGTACGCTGTTGAACGACCAATCGTATCGCAGAATCGAGAAGCGTGTCTGGATTGTTGACGTTAAAAAATACCGTAATCGGGGCTCAGGGCCCCGATTACGCTAATTTTTAACGTCTCCAATACAGACGCGCTTCTTCGACTCTGCGATACAGATTTGTCAAAACAGCTGACGTCCGGGCCCGTTGAAGATGAAAATTTTTAGCGTAATCGCGGCCCAGTCCATTTTATATCTCTGGAATCAGTCTCTCTCTATCTCATCAGTGAATGTGTCACTGTCAGATGCTCTTTTGCTGTCAGCAGTGTCAACTGTCAAGTGTGTCAATTTTGTTTGCATTTTTGCAGGGAGAAGAAAGGAAAGAATTTTAAAGTATTTATATATGTTTACTTTCAGTTCGATTTGATAAATAAATAAGTCACATCTAATGTGAGAAAGTCTTATATATAGTTGGAATAGAATATTTAGTGAGCCCATCTACATAATGGCTACATATAACCTAAAAAATATATGTATCAGTCTAAGCAAGTTAAGGTAAAGTTTACTCAAAGAAAATTATTACCGAGTATTGTGGTATTGATAAAAAATAATTTAGGGTCAGGGATTTGTTGGGTTCTTATTTGCATTTATAGGGGACATGTGGTAAAAGTGACAAGTGATTCTTATACTGTTGTTATTAGGCCAATATTGCAGCTTTATATGAGAAAAAATCGAGCTTTATATATTATAGATTAATTGTGTTATGTTCTTGATACAATCAATCAAAAAGCGTTTACAAAATGTTTTCCTATTTCCCAAATAACTCAGTTAAAAATATGCTGGTTAACAAAATTCAATTTTACATTTCAGAATTGACCACATTGTGACACGATCATATGTAAATGCTCCTCCTAGATTTCGGCCACCTTATTGGTATGCACCCAAGGAACGAGTGGTATGTGAAAGATCTATTGAGAATTATTTGGTTTATCTCCTTTATTTCTAAGAAAAGTTTTTTACTACTAATATTGTTGTTCTGAGTAAAGCTTGTAAAGAAATTATGCCTAACTTTCATGGCTATAAGGATGAATTTATTTCATGACCATTATCAAAACTGTAAATTGTCCATGGAGGCTTTTTATATCTACCTTAATTACAAAATATAAGTAAATAAAACTGGTATTGCAGGTTGTACATTTGCCTATTTTTATTTCCAGATGACCAATGATTACTTGACACAAGAGAATAAACAGTTTGTAGAAGAAGTAATGAAAGATAAATTGAGAGCTCAAGCAGAGTTAGAATCACCGCTAGCAAACATTGCTGACCAAAGTAGTCAAAAGTGGGCACCAACCACTAGGAGAGTTGGTGTCATTGCACGGAAAATTGGAAACTATCCTATATGGGATAAGGATGGGAAAAAAATGCTTACTACACTTTTGCAGGTAGATTTCAGTGTGTACTTAGCACAACATTACTATTTTCTTACTAAATAGATAGTGTAATTTTTATAACACAAACTGATGATGGTTAAAGAATAAGCTGGTCAAAGTAAAAGTGCATATCATTTTAAAACCATTTTACATTTTAGTATATTGTAGCTATAATCATTTGGTGTTTATGTATCTTTTCCAGGTTGTTGACAACCATGTCATAAAATATATACCACCTGAAGAGTTTAATCCAATGAAAACTAATAAAGTTATTTGGCGGGAAAAAAGAAGATTGGGTTGTTTACTTGTGGGATCTGAAACTATAGATCCTAGCACTGTCACAAAAGACTATTGTGGCCTATTTGACAGTGTTGGAATGCTTCCTAAGAAACATTTATGTAGATTTATGGTGTCCCCTGAGTCTGCGTTGCCTACTGGTACACCACTATTTGCCACGCACTTTCGGGCAGGCGATTACTTGGACATACGCGCTAAAACGTAAGTTATGTTATGTTCGAAAACAGTGGCGCGGCAGTGGGCAGAGTGGTGCACTCAATCAAGCGGTCGTTAATACATTAATACATTTCGATCGTTAATTTAAACAATCACCATGACGCCGCGCGATCTACACTCGCGAGCAAAAGTATGGAATCACTTACATGAAGTTGTTTCCTCGCGATTTTGTGTACTAACGAATTTGTTAGTAACAAAAAAAGTAACACCATTTTAAAGATTAAACTTTGAACTTTAAATTGATACCAAATTCATTCAAATCACACCAGTATTTAAAAAGATATCCATGCTGATGTGAAGAAGTAAGGAAAATGACATGAATCAACTGTTTGATACGTCGCAAGTTGCGGCCTATTTACCCCTATGAAAGCACGTGTTTTTGGATTTTTGCTTTCACAGGTTGATCCATACACATCTCCGCTTCTTTTGACACTTTACCTGGAATTCTACACCTTCAGAAGCAGCACAAATCGTTGCACTATTGCAAGAAGGGCTCAGCCAGCGGGCTGTCGCACGTCAGCTCCACATAAGCCAGTCCTGGGTTTCAAAAGTTTTAAGACGCTTTCGGGAGACTGATGGCTTTATCCCGAGACCAAGTTCTGAACAGCGCCGGTGCACATCGCAGAGGAATGACCGTTTTTTCATGTCAACCTCTCTATGAAATCGTCATTTGACTGGTATCAACGTCCAGCAAGAGCTCAGAAATGTTCCTAGGATAGCTGTTAGCGAGTGGACAGTTCGTCTAAGATATAAGGAATAGAATTTGACTCCAAAAAGGCCTGCTACAGGCTCAAAACTGATGGCAGGTCACCGAATAGCACACTTTCAATTACCTGCTTCTCTCAATCACGAAGAGTAGGCGCACACCGTTGATTTTTAGTTGGCCGATAGTTGTGCCCGATTTTAAATTGTATGAAGAATCGGCCAAATCGAATCGGCGTAGTGTGCGCACTCCCATACTGATCAACTGCCCGACTAAACTATCGGCCGACGAAAAATCAACGGTGTGCGTCTACTCTAAATTCAATACAGCCTGTATAGTGGTTCATAGAAGTTCCAATTACATACCTAAAGCTAATAAAAGTTGAAGCTATTGGAATTGGAAGGGATGAGAATACATACCTTAGATATTAAATTCTTGACATTTATTTTAGTATGGACAGAGGATTCCAAGGTGTTATAAAGCGTTGGGGTTTCAAAGGTATGCCAGCATCTCATGGAGTAACAAAAACGCACAGGCGACCAGGAAATATTGGTGCTGGTGGTGAAAAAGCGCGTGTCTGGCCAGGGACAAAGATGCCCGGTCACATGGGAAACAGGTGTGTATTTTATCACTAGGCTAACGACTTGTTGTGTGTACCTACATTAAAATTATAACCAAGAAAAATAATTTTGCCTCCCACGAAACGTTTCGAACTTTCAGCGAATTCATGGATATTCATTTTTACACATATAATAACCGGTTCCTATTCTTCTATCCTACTTACGTCACTAAGTATAAACGAGCACACAACACAGCAGCCGATTTACATTTATGTTGAGATACGAGCATACGTGATATCGTGTCATTAAGTTATAGTATGATCGTGCGTGTAGCCCGTGTAATAGGAAAAAATGAAATGCGGGCAGCCCGCACGCGTGCCGAAATCCGCATCACAGGCACTTAGACCCGCAAGCGAGCTCAGCTATCGCCCGACAAAAATCGGTGGTCTGCGCCTAGGTTTCAAGAAATAGCTTCTTAGCGATAAGTCTGCCTAAATTAACAGTTTAGTAGGGAGTGAATTAATTTAATGAAAGTATTTCTAAACTGTTTTTTTTTATGTCCAGATGGAGAACGCTGCGAGGAGTAAAAATTCTTCGTATTAACACTAAACATAACGTTTTATGGACTTTAGGCGTGGCCATTCCAGGCGAAACAGGCGCCTTGTGTTATTTGTACGACACAATATTACCGTTAAGAAAATTAAAATCAAGTCCGCCTTTTCCTACACACCCACCTGCTGATGATCTACCAATTGAGTACTATGATGACTCTATTCATCCATTTGAAAATCCTACCCTAACTTACGAAGAAGCTTAATTTTATTAATGTTGTACTCTCAGAAATAAACATTGTGTAAGGATTCCATTTGTTAAATAAATAAGTGGCACAAATTGAAGCGTATATTATTGGCGTAAGCCGCTTTTCCTCAGGTAAAACGTGCCCTTGCCATATTCCATTTTATTAAGCCTGCAATACAGAATACGCTTCTAGTCCCAAACTAAGCAAAGCTTGTACTATGGGTACTGTAGGTACACATATGATGTAGGTACACATTAATCAGAGTAATAAATTAACTTTATGAATGAACAGAGCGTATTGAGTAGCGTCCTGCGTTCCCACAGGTACTAAACAACAAAATATATAAACATACTAACCACCCAGACCCATCACAGGATTATTAAAATTCATCATTTCAATTTCTGCCCGGCCAGGAATCGTAGTCCGTTCCGAACTACTACACCACACGGCCGATATTATTCAAATAATTGCGCTAAAGATAAAAGCATGATTTATTTTATGTGCCGTCCTAAATAGGTAGGCAGTCAGCGTCAAGTAGTTAGTGGCACCCAAAGTGGCCAATAAGTTAACAAAGACGTGTTGCGATCTTTTTGGTCACTTTGGTTGTCACGAACTATTTGACGCTGACTGTACATAGGATCAATCTCTAAAAATTTATTTCCCTATCCCTGACCAAGGTAAATAAAGAAGAAAATAAATTATGACCAAATTCAATTTCATTTATTGTTTAAAATGTACTTAATTTATTTTATAATTTATCTTATTCTAGATTATTTAAAAACTTATGTCTAGACAATATAATCATCATGATTTTTGTCAGTCTGATGTTTCAAACATTTCTAATAAATGTATAGACTTTAAGGGTTGTGTGGGTTCAGATGAAATGAAAACTTACATGCAATTGTGCGCCTTTTTTACCTTACTTAACACACCTACTATTATTAATTTTAAAACTTATTTCTAAAACTGTTTTCTTGAATATAATTATCATTATTATTACAATTAATAATAACTCCTTAAAATTTACTGTTGTGTTGGAGGCTGGAACCCATAACCAGGATATGGTTGGGGGGCACCAGGCGGCGGGGCGCCCGGGGCCGGCGCCCGCGCGTACGGGTAGGGGGAGGGAGGGTACTGAGCTGGAGGGTAGCCCTGTTGGTAAGCATGCGGAGGATATGCTCCTCCAGATGGAGGATAGTTTTGTGGATTCTGTGGATAAGAAGACTGTGGAGGTGGAGCTGTTGACACAGAAGGAGCTGGGCTGCCAGGCTGAGATGAAGGATTGGAATATGGAGGCTGGGTGGCCGGAGGGTACGGCGAGGGCTGACCAGGGGGAGGATACTGCTGTTGTGCAGGAGGGCCGCCTGGAGCGGACGCCGACGACGCTACTGTGGACGGAGGGGCACTGGAATGAGAACTGGAATTGTAGGTGGGCGACTGAGCTGATGGTGAACCGTATCCAGAACTTGTAGGGTTCTGACCGGTATAACCACTGGGTGGAGGTTGAGGTGAGCGGTTGGGCTGGGATGTTGCTGTGGTGTTGTAAGCTGAAGTGGGTGTTGTGTTGGGGAACGGTTGTGATTGGTACGGTTGCGGCTGAGATACAGTTGAGTTGTATGTACTAGCACCGACATTTGGATAGTTGGCACCAGATTGAGGAGGAGGATATGCAGAGTTTCCTGTGTAACCAGGTTGAGAAGCTCCCCGAACCGGATATGGAGACCCGGCAGCTGCAGGGTTCCCAGGAGGGGGTGCGTATGGTTGTTGGACTGTGGAAGGAGGATAACCTGAACCAGGCACAGGATGTGTGGAAGGTGGATAATTATTGGGAGTAGTAGTAATTGGAGGTCCATAAGTTGAATTTGGAGGATAACCTTGGGATTGTGGAGGGTTTGGTGGGCCATATCCTTGACCAGGTGGCCCATATCCAGCTTGTGGCGGATAAACTCCTGGTCCTTGATATTGACCTTGATACTGATTTTGAGAATATGGCCTTTGACCATAACTCTGAGTTGGCCTTGTTGGGGTTGTTGAAACTCCTGAAGGAGGTCGATACTGCTGCTGTGACGAATCTGATCCTGTGGATGGTGGATTGAGTGGTCCTTGTGGGACATTTCCAGATGCTAATGCATGTGGAGGCTGAAACAAAACAATATTTTTTGATTCCTGAGATACCTAATATGTTCATCCAGATTAGTTTTTGTGGGAGCAGTTAGCTTAAGGCCCTCTGTTTCTCAGACTTAATTCATTTAAAGTATATTCATAAGGTTTTTATGTATTTGTAAAGAATATGCTCTGTATATTATATAGTTCATTCAACTTATGATGGTGATTTAGACAGATAAAACGTTTCGTTTTATGATTCTAACTTTCTACGAATAAAAATATTGAGTTGTAAAAATCAATTACTTTTGTGTGTTTTCATCCTTCCAAAAAATCAATCACTAATCTTTCTCAATTAACCTAAACAAGAATTTATATTTATTTATTAGTTTATTATTTAGAAAAAATTGTGAAAAAATATTAAATGAATTGCTTCTGCGTTAGTCGGAACTTTTGCTCATAGGGATGGGACATAAACAATCGCAATAAATCAGTAATCGGCATGGTGGTCATCTTACCATCGAATCACGATTATTATCTCAGGCAGGTCAAAGCTAAGTCAGTACGTGTGCGTTTGCTTTTGATGACGGTTTTGTTTTATGCGATTTCTCCACGTATTGTTTGTTATTGTTATTTTGATGTTTTATTGAATAAAATGCATATATTTAATTCTTTGTGATTTATTTTGTACCACTAAGAATATTCACGTTTATTCCATTTCCAGATAGTTCAAATTCATAGATATAATTTTGATCAAGATTAAAAATCAAACAAATAAAAGGCGATTAGATTTCTATAGAAAATATTCTCGATTCTAAAAAATATCGATTAGGTTTATAAGGAGCGCCTCACTAAATAGAACTGTCATAATCACCATCTTACGCTGAATGGACTATAATTACAAAGAACTCACCGGTAGAAGGGCCTGTATATTTTGATTGGCATCTGCAATTGACGCTAAATACACTAGGTTTCTATGGAGGACTTGTTGATACTGATGGCATTCCATTAGTTGTCCTTTGGCTTGGTAATCTTGTATAGTTTGAATGAGGTGAGCATTTTCATCAAGCATTTTCTGAATTTGAGCTGGACTTAATGGAGGTCGGTTCCCTCGAGGTGCAAATGCCACGGACATTTTAAATGATTTAGTATGAATATACCACTAGTTTCAAAGACACATCAAGTCAAGACCCAGCTAAATAGCCGGACAAAGAAAATATATTCCAAGGGAAATACTTATAATATATTGTATACGTTTAGAATACTATGGAAAAATGCCATTATTTCCAAATAATAAAAAGTCGAATCAAAGATTTGAGAGCTATAATGTGAAGCGAATTCACTGAAATAGATCGAGAATTTCACAAATTTCTTTCACACCAAGCAAAGACCACAGCACCACAGATTAAAGAGTAGGTGCTCCAAACGTGTGACATTTTGTCATATCTACCAAAGATATTGTAAATAAAGATGAACTACACCGAATGTCCCACCTGTGACACTGAAAGGGGGCGCCTCCGTCAGTACAGCCCCCTAGACAAAACGCACGTTTTGATCGAATCGCAAAACGAATCCGTCAAAACTCCATACAAAAAAGGGGCTTTTCGACTGGTTTGCGATTATAATTTGCACTTTGTCTAGACCCACTGGTAATTGCTGGTTCCGAGTTTTGCCACTTATGAGAAGTTTTTAAATTGAAAGATGGTGGCGCCCCCTTTTAATGTGTCTGGTGGGCTACTTTATCAAAACCACTGGACCCCGATTGCGCTAAAAATGTTCAACTGCAACGCAACTAGACGACAAATGAAACTCAGCCGTTATGACAAATCCGTATCAGTTATAACGTAAACGGAGAGCAACAGACTGCACGTTTGAGTAAAAGCTGACAGAAAGCTGCTTTATCTCACACGCAAGTCAAACGCATCACGGACATTTTTTTTTGCTGAGTTTTGCGAGTGAACAGCCCCCCTAGACAAAACGCACTTTTTGATCGAATCGAAAATCGAATCCGTCAAAACTCCATACAAAAAAGGGGCTTTTCGACTGGTTTGCGATTATTTGTCTAGACCCACAGCACGTAAACGTACGTGTGTCGCGCCTCTTATACACGGCGTGATTGCACCATAAAGTTAATATTCCTTCGGAATAGAGCAACAAAGAATGAGCGAGCGAGATGTCACTATCTGCAACCCAGTCCCGATTACGGTAACTTTTAACGTTTCCAATCCAGACACGCTTCTCGATTCTGCGATACGATTGGTCGTTCAACAGCGTACGTCAGCTGTTTTGACCAATCGTATCGCAGAATCAGAAGCGCGTCTGGATTGGAAACGTTAAAAGTTACCGTAATCGGGGCTCTGTGTGATAAAAAGAGATATTGTGTGATGCTGTCATCGTCACGTCAATAGAACCTTAGATTAATAAAACCTAGATGGATAGTCTTCATACAAACGCTTCATCAAGAGTGAGGCAAAAATCTTATGTCATTAGTGTCAATTTTGTTGGGGAGTGTAGACAGTGAAGGCGATTTTCCCGAAAGTAGGGAAATTTTTAATACGTTTTTAAATATTTTATAACTAACAAAAACAAAACGCATCATGTACTTACTTATTTATTGAATTCAAAGTACCTACCTAATAACAATAAGATAAATCGACTTAAAAGTCTCGATTTCATAAAAAAGGAAGTGTATTTGTACGGCGAACAATTGGGAAATAAATTTTCTTGTTACTGGTATCATTCCCGTATTTAATTTTTGAAAGCCAAATTCGAGCAAAATACGCGTCGAATCGTAGTACTTACTTATGAAATGTAACACTGGTCACTTTCTTATGATTTTCTGATGTATTTTAGACACCCTTTCACAGCACAAACCGTTTTATTAATTAAAATTCGTCGGACGTGTTTAACAATTTTTCACTTTGACAGTTCATGTGACGTTTACGGGTAAGCCGTGCCGGCTCCCTAAAAACTGCCTCACCTTTCGTGCACTGACTATCTATCTAGGTTTTATTAATCTAAGAATAGAACCATTTTTGCAAAAGATTTGACAGACAGTGACACTAAGAGGCACAAAGAAAATTTCAATTCATATAGTTTTTTATNATGAATAATAAAATAAATCCTACTAGCTCGATTGATGGTTTCATTTAATTTATTTAAACCAGGTTATCTTTAATAATATTTTTCGTTAATTTATGAAAATATCAAATTAGCCCGTAATCCTGAATCCTGATACATAAATTTAGCCTATTAATTTAACACATGTACGACTGTACTCAGTGTTGCACTATCAAATGCAATTGAAGCGCCTCTGTGCCAGGGTTTTTATGTTCCTGGTCAGGCTATAATTGCTGGTTCCGAGTTTTGCCACTTATGAGAAGTTTTTAAATTGAAAGATGGTGGCGCCCCCTTTTAATGTGTCTGGTGGGCTACTTTATCAAAACCACTGGACCCCGATTGCGCTAAAAATGTTCAACTGCAACGCAACTAGACGACAAATGAAACTCAGCCGTTATGACAAATCCGTATCAGTTATAACGTAAACGGAGAGCAACTGCACGTTTGAGTAAAAGCTGACAGAAAGCTGCTTTATCTCACACGCAAGTCAAACACATCACGAACATTTTTTTTGCTGAGTTTTGCGAGTGAACAGCCCCCCTAGACAAAACGCACTTTTTGATCGAATCGAAAATCGAATCCGTCAAAACTCCATACAAAAAAGGGGCTTTTCGACTGGTTTGCGATTATAATTTGCACTTTGTCTAGACCCACAGCACGTAAACGTACGTGTGTCGCGCCTCTTATACACGGCGTGATTGCACCATAAAGTTAATATTCCTTCGGAATAGAGCAACAAAGAATGAGCGAGCGAGATGTCACTATCTGCAACCCAGAGTCCCGATTACGGTAACTTTTAACGTTTCCAATCCAGACACGCTTCTCGATTCTGCGATACGATTGGTCGTTCAACAGCGTACGTCAGCTGTTTTGACCAATCGTATCGCAGAATCAGAAGCGCGTCTGGATTGGAAACGTTAAAAGTTACCGTAATCGGGGCTCTGTGTGATAAAAAGAGACAGTGGCGGCGTAAGGCGTGGGCGACGTGGGCCACCGCCTACGGCCTCGCGGTACAAGGGGCCTCGCGCCTCAAAAATTTTTTTTTAAATATTAGTCTAATTTTTATTTTTATGAATAAAAACTTGTCAGTGTTCATTGTTTTTTTTTTATTTTTTTTTTTTATAATTCAGTTTGCCACAGAACAAGGCCTCGCGAAATCTGTCTAGCCCACATCAAATTTAGGTCTTGCCCCGCCACTGAAAAGAGATGTGTGATGCTGTCATCGTCACGTCAATAGAACCATTTTTGCAAAAGATTTGACAGACAGTGACACTAAGAGGCACAAAGAAAATTTCAATTCATACTAGTTTTTTATAAAAATATCGTAAAATCCTGTTTATTTTTGGAAAATTTGTTTTCTAATATAATGGTGACCTGTTCCGTCCTTGATTGTGATGTACACCAAAGGCTTAGATTAATAAAACCAAAGGAATAATCCGGCAAAATATTCATTTCACAGGTAAATTTATTGAAATCGACACCTCCAAACTTTAGCTTTATTTTTGTGAATGCGCTTAGAATTTTAAGCACTAAGTGTGATAATTATGTTCTTTAAACATTAATTTAAGTTGTAAGCAAAGATTTCATGCTCATAATCCAGAATTTATGAATATTTTGTGTAAAGAAATAATTTTCGTTTTACACTAGGGTTGTACCACAATCGATAAATATATTTCCTGCGCTGTTTATCACAGTCACTGCTGATTATGTAGGTACATAAATGGCGTTTGTATGTGAATATAGAAAAGTGTTATTTTGTAATTACCTGTTAGTTAATAAACTAAACTAAATATTACATACTAAACATAATAATAAATATGTTCATGCACACAGATGTTTATACTATGCGGGAATCGAACCCGCTACCTCCGGAATAGTAGTCCGTTTCGAACCACTACACTATACGGCCAACAACGATTATTACATCGTTAGAGTCCTATTTTTTACGTTATCGTCAGAATTATCATTTTTTAATTATTGTTTTACTCCTACTAACATTATAAATGCGAAAGTTTGTATGGATGTCTTGATGTTTGTAACTCTTTCACTCTTTCAAATAAATAAGTTGAATAATTTTAATCTTCTGAGTTTTTTTTTTATTTTCTTAGGCCACTCTCCCAATTCCCATATACAATCCCATTCCATCCTATTTTAGTTCTATTAATATTATTACTGTTAGGTGTTAATTAATATTTAATCGATATCGATATTCATGTGAAAAGTAACGACATACATCACTGACATGCACACATATTTATTTTTACACACACAAATGACATCTCATTTTTGGTTTCGTTTGACAGCTCGTGATTGTTGCTCTATTCCGAAGGAATATTAACTTTATGGATTGCACACTCTTTCATCTGTGGTGATTGACACAGATTATAAAGTATAGATGACCCACGCTGAACTGTCCCACCAAACTCAATGACAGGGGGGCGCTACCATCATTCAACTTTATGGCTTCCAACATGGCAAAAATCTGAACCAGCGATCCGGTATTGACGGTGGCGCCCCACTGTCAATGTCATCGACAGGACAGTCCAGTATTTTGGAACTATACGATGATTGCCCCCCTCCCCCGCGCCTCGTTCGGTCGGAGAGCGAAGTCGAGTTTTTTTTAGGTTTTAGTTGACTGGACTGCTAGTCGCTAACTCGCTATTAGTCCATTAACAGCAAAAGGTCATAGTTACAATCTTTACTCAACTGCATAAATCATTAGACTGTGAATTTATTTTTGACATCAGTAAGTACCTACTTAGTAATTTATCGTTATCAATAGGTGTAATCATTTCATCGCCCTTTGTAACTAATAATAAAAGTTTGTGCTCTGTAGGTAATGCTAAGCTAACTACACACTCAACTTTAGTACCTACTTAAATCAACTTTTTAAAAATATAATTACCTAGGTACCTGTTCGTTTTATTGGCATAATTATTTATAAACAGGAAATCAACAATGATATAATATTTTTTTTACATTTGTGCATTATAATAATAATATTAACTTCATTGTACACCACACACAAAAAAAACAAGAAAGAAATTCACTTTGGAGACAGTAGGTACAATTAGGCGGTCTTAGCGCTGTAAAGCAATCTTTTCCAGACAAATAAATTATAATTAAAAATATTTAATGGTATTATGATGATAATAGACTTTAACCCTTAGATTAATGGTTTTATTAATCTAAGCTTTAACCTTAGAAAAAGTGGAAAAGGACGGACCCATAATAATTTATTGTTTAGTCACGATCACGAACACTAACACGTCACGACGATCGTTGTAATCTATTTCAGGTTTCAACATGGCTCTACGAGGTCTAAAGGTCATAGAATTTTTGGGCCTGGCACCAGGACCTTTATGTGGGACTTTTTTAGCAGATTTTGGAGCCACAGTTACAGTCATTAACAAGGTAAGGAATTAGTGCCGTGCCGNGTGTAAACACCCACGGGTGGAATGAAACGGGTTTTTATTGGGTTTTTACCCTCATGTGGGTTTTTACCCGGGTGGAAACCCATCTCTACCTACGGCATGGCCCTACATCCTGTGACAGTGCCCCGATTACGCTAATTTTTAACGTCTCCAATACAGACGCGCTTCTTCGATTCTGCGATACGGATTTGTCAAAACAGCTGACGTCCGGGCACGTTGAAGATAAAAATTTTTAGCGTAATCGGGGCCCAGAGCCCCGATTACGGTAATTTTTAACGTCTCCAATCCAGACACGCTTCTCGATTCTGCGATACGATTGGTCGTTCAACAGCGTACGTCAGCTGTTTTGACCAATCGTATCGCAGAATCAGAAGNATCAGAAGCGCGTCTGGATTGGAAACGTTAAAAGTTACCGTAATCGGGGCTCAGGTACCTATTGTTTGTTTACCACAAACAACAACTAAAAGATTTTATGAGCAAGCCCGACATACACCCAAACCTTAGATTAATAATATTATTATATTAATCTAAGACCCAGACGCCGACCGGGCCGATTAATTAAAATAAATTGATTACGTAAATAAAACATAAATTCTTGAAAGTTCAAGAATTGCGTTTACTTAAAAATTACAACTTCTCCAAGCATTAATTAAGCGAACACGTAAATAACGTAATATTTTTAATTTTATATGTTTCTCATTACAGATTGGGCCTGCACCCTTCGATGTACTCTCGAACGGGAAGAAAGTCATTTCTGTAGACTTAAAATGCAAACAAGGCTTGGATATCGTAAATAAACTTTGTGCTTCATCAGATGTTTTAATAGATACTTTTAGGCCTGGAGTATTAGAAAAGTTAGGACTGGGTCCCGAGTCACTTTTGAAAAAGAATCCTCGATTGATTTACGCCAGATTAACAGGATACGGCCAAACAGGGCCCTACAAAGACAAAGCAGGGCATGATATAAACTATGTTGCTATGTCAGGTATTCTCTCTTTACTAGGCAGAAATGGACAACCACCTATGCCCCCTATCAATTTACTAGCTGATTTCGCGGGAGGAAGCTTAACATGCACTCTTGGCATTATCTTAGCTCTCTTTGAAAGAACTAAATCTGGAAAAGGACAAGTTATCGACTGTGGAATGACTGAAGGATTAGCTTATTTATCTACATGGTTATTTAAGGCACGCGATAGACTACTTCAAGGTGAACCAGGTACCAATCTATTAGATGGCGGATTCCCGTTTTACTCCACGTACAAAACAAAGGACGGAAAATTTATGGCTGTCGGCGCGCTAGAACCACAATTTTATGCGAATTTATTAGAAGGACTCCAACTATCTGCAGATAAATATCCACAGGCAGATGTTGAGGAATGCAGAAAAAAATTCGAGGAGATTTTCAAATCAAAAACTCAAGAAGAGTGGTGCAAAATATTTGAAAATTTGGATGCTTGTGTAACTCCCGTCTTAGCAATTGATTCTATTGATGACCATGAATACCATAAAAATAAAAACACATTCTTTAGAGACAGTGAAAACAAAATACTGCCTGAACCATCTCCTACCCTAAGTAGAACACCGGGTGTTTCGGTCGGCAAAGAGCCCCTACCACCTCAGGGGCAACATACTGTACAAATTTTGAAAGAGCTTGGATACAGTGACAAAATAATACAGGATTTTTTAAACAAGGGTTATGTTTATGCACATGAAAAGTCTAAACTATAAATAAAAACTACATTAAGAGATCATTATTTTTAAGTTAAGTTACACATATAACTATGTATACCTACATACATAAATAATACCTACTTAGTATTTTATACATAAATAGAAGTTAGTTTAATATGTTAAGTACTTAAATATTGGGAAATAGAGTTTTTGGTTGTTATTAATTCATTTTCTAGTTCATTTTGCATAATGCATTCATTAATGACAAGGGGATGGTAACATATTTTATCCATTGTGTCAGCAATAATTAATAAATCAAGTTTCATTTGGTTTGGTCCTAGTGAGTAATTATTAAAACCTATGCTTTCTCCTGATTTTAGTTGATCTAATCTTTTTTTGCCCATATGACATAAAAGTTTGGTAAACATTGTAAAGTCCATCCCAAAATCTGCTTTCAACAAATTTTGACAGCTTGAAAGAAAATCTTCCTCATGCCTGATGTCTGCTAATTCAAGCTCTACAGTTATTAGAACATTTTGTAATGCTTCCCATACATGTCCAACATTACAACAATTAATCCAGTTATGATTAATTGATACAGTATCTAATAGATTATGAACTTCATGATACCAACAGGATGGAACAAATATTGCATCACCTTCATCTTGGGTAACTTCAAAATATTTAACACCTGGGTGTGTTTTTTCATTGAATTGCATGGGCAATCTACCAAATTTATCCTTTAGTTTTGTTTCTTCTCCAGGTGGGAATAATATCCACTTCTTTCTTCCTATTATGTTAATGGACCAGCTGAAGGAACGGTACACATCAGCATGTAAGGGTGTCCTGCAAATAATTAAAATATTTAGCAACTTATTTTATCTCAGGATAAACACATTTCATAATCTCAGCATAAATTATAATATTATCATCATCATCATTTCAGCCATAGGACGTCCTCTGCTGAACATAGGCCTCCAAAATCAAAATCAAATCAAAAAAAATATTTATTCAGTTTAGACCACAAGTGGCACTTATGAACGTCAATAGAAAATAATAAAAAAAAAGAAAAAGGTAGCCCTTATGGGGCACTTTACATGTCTCCTTATCTTTTGGGCCCTACCATCCCCCAATGCTTTCCATATTATTATAATAAAATTAAATATTAGGTGAACCTATTCTAGCTCCCAAACAGATATGGGAGCTAGAATACAGAATAATGCACAAGTATAAATACATATTATTAAAATTATATGGCTAGGCACTGGTAAGACATGAATTTCTAGTAGTAAGTAATATACCTACCATGTACCTGTAGGTCCAATATACACAAACATGTAGTCATCCTCTTCACAGTCTTGAGCATGTTCATTGAGCCAGTCAGGGGCAAAGAAAATTGGCACTTCATAAAAGTTATCATCAGGTCGTAGTTTTCGTAAGTGCCAGTCTTTTAAATACAGAAGTTTTTCTTTAGTGCGACTTTTCAAATAATTCATATAGTCGCACACCTTCATGTCTGTTTTAGAGTGCGAGTCAAACATAATATCACTAAAGTCTGCTACAGGGGCTTTTAAGTCTCCATAGGTTTTAATAAAATAATCATGATCTATGTGAGCGTCTTTTTTCCATTTTCGTGTACATATCCAATCGTGACCGATGTTCTTAATGATGCAAGGAATGTTTTTGGTCATAAATTTGTTGAAGAACTGGTTGTAGGATAGTTCACTAGCTCCTACAACTTCTATAGTTTTCAAATTATAGTCATAACATTCAGGCAGAGCACTAATATTAAAATCATCTATTTCGATCTCTGACATTATTTTAAAAAACAATATAACCACAATTTATTTTTTTAAACTATATAAGATTAGTACCTGAATAAAGGAAACCTTTATCAAACTCAGTAAAATTTTCAGAATAAAGGTAGATACAGCCGGAAAATCTCGGAAAATTCGTAATTGACAAGAAAAATCGGGTTGCAGTAAATGACAGTTATGACACTAATGACAGTTGGTTGACAGCGAAAACATAGAGTAAAGAGTTTTTTTTTGGAACACCAAAGATATTATAACAAATGTACGAACTTATCAACACGTAAACTCGGAAAGGGTTCGTAGACGACGAGCCGGGCGGAAGCTCATTGATGGCGAGCCGCAAGAGCAGGTGAGGTGATTGCGTTCCATGAAGCTAAAGATAAAAGTGGAGGCCAGACTTAGAATACCTACTTGAAGCACAACCTATGTATCACTATCTCGCTCTCTGTGGGCAGGCTCTCTCTTTCTAAGTAGGGTAACCTTTTATTTATTTTTCTCAGGACGACAAAGACNTTCTAAATCGGTGAACGATTCTTGAACTAACACCATTTTATAAAATAATTGGTCACAATATCATCATAACGTGATCAATTTTACGATTTGGCCACGATATAAATGCATATTAGTGTTAAATTTGACTTATTACTTATTAATTAATAAACTTAAATGAGAAAAATTCAATAAAAATAAAGAAAAGATACCAATTGAAAGAATTATAACATTATTTGTTTTCACCCGGTGTAAACACCCACGGGTGGAATGAAACGGGTTTTTATTGGGTTTTTACCTTCATGTGGGTTTTTACCCGGGTGGAAACCCATCTCTAAGCGCAGGTGAGGTGATTGCGTTCCAATTCGATAAGTGTGCTATTTTTTTTCATTAAAAGATTAAAGAAACTATGGGTTTAGAAAAGTGGCACTTTGATCGAATCGAAAACCGAATCCATTGTAACTCCATNGAAGAAGAAAAAGAAACGTTTTGTTTTGTTGTTAAATCTATACTAATAAAAGAGGAAAGATTTAATTGTTTGTTTGTTTTTTTGGAGGCAATAGGCTCCGAAAAAAATTTCTTTCACGATTTAGAATCCTAATTTTTTTCTATGTAGGCTATAAAATATTTTCAAAAACTTTAGTCCAAAACCTTTGATAAAATTCGACGTTTAATAAATAAATTAGATAACATGTTAATACTTTTTTTTTCAGTACGATTTTAGTACTTGTTTTTCAGAAATTCTACGATTTAACTATTACCTGACTAGGTTAAAAAGGTGTGGAATGTTATTTTGGAGATAACTTGGTTCCATAGAAATATAGAGAGATGCTAAGTAATGCGCTGAGTTCGAAACTCAGTGTCGTATTAGAAATTCACACACACAAAGAAATCAAATTATGTGCTCATTATCCATTGCGGTATCAGTATTCAACGTTCGAATAATCTTTAGTACTATGCAAGCAATATAAACTGTTCACATAATGACGTCGCTACTGTCATTACTGCTTTCACAAGCAATATGTTCCAATTTGTCCCTTGTCACATTTCCCTTTAGTTTTTGTGATCTGTGCTTGTTTCTAAGTTGATATCAATGAAATATTCCTAAGTACTTTTGATTAAATTATTTTTTTTTTATTTTGACACGTGTTTGAAAAATCAAGGTCAGGTTACAATAAAATAACAAGTGAAAACGTAACATTGCATTGTAACTCGCAATTTCGCAATATTGATGAGGAGATTCCATTGGAAAGTCTGTATTCATTCCTAGGATTCCCCCTAACACCATCAAATTCAAGGGAATTCAAGAGAGTGCAGTTTCCCATCTCATGCTTAGGGACCACGGTTTAAAATAGTGTGGTTGCATAGAGCCTGCAACGGGCAACCTCGTGCGCAGCTGCTCATACTAATTTTCGATACAAAAGCAAGTGTTGGCGCCCTCACGAGTTTTAGCGGAGTTCCATATGGTAGCGGGAGTAGACTTAATTGAAATCTATGCTTCTCCGACGACCAGTTGTATGTGGAATAC